GAAGAAAGAGGCTCTTGCCAGGGAAGAGTCACTGTTTTGGCCAAATGGGTTTGGACATGCCACAGGGACATCAGGAGAGGCCCAGGAATCTGGAGCCAAGGGCTAGAGATTGGCTCCAGATTCCTGGGCTGGGCTGGAGATTTGAGAGTCATGGAAACAGGTGAGTGTAAGAATAAAATCAAACATGACAGTTTTCATGCAAGTGTCTCTTGCCATTTCTGTGAGCAAAACTTCCTGGGATGTGGACTGTGGGTCTGCAGAAGGCTCTGCTGAGAGTGACAAGTCATGGGCCCTTCCCTGTCCCCACAGCTATCCTGGGCATGCACACGCTCATGAGCAACCAGCAGTACTACCAGGCCCTGGGCAGCAGCTCCATCGTGAACAAGGAGGGACTCAACAGTGAGTACATACCCCCAGTGACCTGCCGCAGGACTGCTCCCCGACCCTGGGCTCACGGGTACACCCTGGTGGAGCGGTGTCCTCAAGCTGCCTCCTCCTCTGTCCACGAAAGCTCTCTGGCTCCTTGCAAAAGTTTTAAATTTGTATGTGGCCAAATCCATCCATCGTTTCCTTTTGAGTCTCCTGGGATTTGTGTCTTGTTTACGAAGGCCTTCTCATCAAAACATTCTTCTGTTTTCTTCCAAACGCTTTGGAGGTTTAGTCTTATATTCAACTTTTCTTCTTTCTTTCTTTCTTTTCTTTTTTTAATTTTTTTTCCAGAGGCTGTATGCTCTTATTGGAGAGAAACAGAAAAGGCAGGGAGAGTGAGAAAGCACTCCCATGGGGAATGATTATGCCACTATCCCTTTTCTTCCATTTCTCCTTCCTTTCAGGATTGTGGGCACACATACACATGCACACCATGTATTTTTCAAGCCACCGGGTCCACTACTGGAGCTGTGCAGTTGGCCATGTGGGATTCAGTCGCCTTAACCACTATGGCACAGGCTGGCTCCTATTCACCTTCTGTATGCCCCTGGAGTTCATGTCCTTGTGTGGTGTGGGATGAGATCAGCCATTTTTCAATGGAGATTCAGTTGTCCCAACCCCATTGTTTACAGCATTTATTCTTTCACCATCAGTCTGGGCTTCCATCTTTACCATAAGTTCCTGCACGTCCACGTGGGCCTGTTTCTAGGTGCCTCTTCTGTCCCGTGAATCCCATTGTCCTATTCTGTACCCATGTAATGACTCCCCTGCATCGTTCCAAGCTGGCCCTTGGGCCTCAGAGACAAATAAGGGTGCCGAAGGGAAATTACCCCTCCCTCTGGAAAAGGGATGCATTTATTTTCCATCCTTAATCTATCTGCACAAGAGCCCACTGGGCTAATGAGCACAGCAATCAATAAAATGACTGTCCCCACTTTACAGGCCAGGGCTCGAGGTTCAGAGACTTTACTCAACTCTCGCAAATGTCAAGGGAAGACTCCGGGTGGAGGCCAGGCCTCCTGCCTCCCTTGTAGGACTTTTTCTGTGGCATCACCTGCCCCACCAACCTGACCCCCTCTCCAGTAGCCCCTGCAATATGCGACCTTCACATGCCCCTGAACTCTGCTGACACCTCCTTCTAGAGTGTGCTTGTGCTGAGACAGTGGTCCCTTTTGTTGTCACTCTAGGTGTCATTAAACCTACACAATACAAGCCTGTGCCCGACGAAGAACCTAACTCAACAGACGTAGAGGAAACGCTGGAGCGGATAAAGAACAATGACCCGAAACTTGAAGAGGTTAACCTCAATAACATCCGGGTAAAGTCCTCTGATTTCACCTCACCCGTGTGTGGCGAGAGGTGGGCGCATGGCCCATGTTACCCCATGCTAATGATCCAGGCTATGCAGAGTGAACAGGGTCCTGTTTAGACTCCGGTGTTTTGAGTCAGGAATGGGAGCAACCCCTTCGTAAATGGGAACCTTTGGGAGGGAGAACACAGTGAACGCATGCCTCCCCTAGTCCTGCTTCCTCCCGGGGATGCCGTCAGGCTCAGTGTTCACCCCGGCCTCCATCTGAAAACCTGCCATATGATTAAAAACACCGAGAGTTTCTCTGAGATCAAATCGTGGGTCACATATGGCACCCCACCGGATCTCGAGGCTGGAAAAGCCCAGAAACCACAAGGCAAGCGGGGTAACTCAAGCCCCAGGCAGGTCCTACCCTCGAGTGGTCGCTGCTGCTGTGCCAGGTTCCCACTCAGACTCATTTTCCAGCCACAGAGGGAGCTGTCGGCCCAAATGTCCGAAGAACTCTCCCGAGCTGTCCACTCCTATCTCTGTGGACATTTTCCCGTGTGAACACTGGGTCGGAGAAACGACAGGTGGACAGGCAGTCCCCGTCTGCACAGGCTGCGGGAGGAATTCAGAGGCAGGCACGATTGGCTGCCCACCTGCTCAGCCCCAAGTTTTGTGGGGTTAGTTCTGGGTGAGCGTGGGGGTAAGGCAAGAAGCTAGCCCACACTGCCTGCTCCATTTTCCTTTCTTCTTCATTTTCTTTTAAGTGGCTGCCAGCTCCGAGCACAATCAGATGGGAAACCTGCACCCCAGTGTTCCCTCCACCTGGCCTTCCAGGCCCTGCTCCCACAGGAGCTAAAGTGACGCTCTGAAATAAGAGCTCGGTAAAGGCGCAGCCAGGGCTCTCAGGCACCTCAGGTGTCTGCCATGTGCCCAGCGGGAGGCACTGGCTGGATTCGGAATTGCGCTCTTTGGCCGTGAGTACCATGGCATGAGGGCATGGCACCATGAGGCCTTTGCCAAGGCCTAAGTTTCCTCTCTGCCTCATGAGGCGATTGGACCAGATTGGTGGTTTTCACTTGAAAAGATTTTTTTAAATATCCCTGGGGGTGGAAGGTGGTGCGGTGATAAAGCGTGACATTCGGTGAGGCCGACCCAGGTGGAAAGGCTCCAGGTTCACTTCTGCAGACCTCCCTGAGGAGCCAGGCATATGGTCAGGGGCTGGTTCAAGAAGGAGGTGGGGCTATCCCTGTAAGTGGGTAAGGAAAGCTGCATCCCACATGGCCAAGCATGGTTCAAATCCTGGCCAGTGAAAAACACACTGTGTGTGTGTCTGTGTGTGTGTGTGTGTGTGTGTGTGTGTGTGTATGTGCCCCAAACCCCAAAAGAATGGAGAAACAGAGGACCAGGGATTGTGGCATGACCACATCCCATTGAAGGATGCCTTCTCCCTCACCCCTTTTTTCTGTTTGTCTCTCTGGTGAGTGCACATGCCCTGTGGGGACAAAAGAAAAGCAGGGCTGGATTGTGGTGTCAGGACCCTGGCAGGGATGGTATCTCTCTGGTTCTGTTTCTCATGCTCATGGAAGAAATACATAAGGGAATTTAAAAGCAAACCAAACAGGGACCAGGGGGTAGCACAGTGATAATGCACCTGGGCCCACACAGGAAAGGTCCCGCCATGATTCTCCAAGACCTTCCAAAGGACACAGCAGCCAGTGTAGAATGCACCGGGGCCCCACCGGAAAAGGCCCCGCCATGATTCTCCAAGACCTTCCAAAGGACACAGCACGTGTCGCTGTGATCTGAGCTGCCTGGGATTATACTGTGAAGATTTTGTGGGGGGCATCTGTCTCTCTGTCTCTTTCTCTCTTGTGGAAGAAATAAAGAAATCAATTTGAAGGAAAAGAATTTATTAAAACCCAAAAAGCAATGGGCCAGCTCCATGGTCTAGGGTGGTTAAGGGAGCTGGGCCCCACATGGCTCACTGCAGCTCAAACCCCAGTCCTGGTGGCTTGAAAACCATGCCAGGCACATGTGCATGTGTACCTCAAATCCCAACAGAATGGAGAAATGGAGGATTGTGGCATGACTGCATCCCACCGAGGGGTGCTTTCTCCCTCTCCCTCCATCTCTCAGTCCCTGTGTGTCTGCTGAGTGCACATGCCCTCTGCCGATTAAAGAAGAAAATAGGAAAAAAAAAAAAAAAAAAAAAACAAAAAATGCCAATGTCTAGGCCCCCTTCCGGAGAA